CGGCTTCTATCCTCGGATCCCTCTCTGTCTCTGTATATAGACAATTTCTAGGAGACTCCTATCACACATGCAGGGGTTTGTATTGTCTTTCTTCTGTTCATTTATAATAGTTTCTAGAAATCCAGTAATGTGCTACCCCATTTTTCATTATTGTTGAAATCTTCGGGCTGCGTGCAGGTGGATGTTGGAGATATCATTCGTCTTATGGCTTAAAATGTTTTTCAGAAGATCCGTAGCATGGCGAAAACTTCCCCTATTATATCAAAATTAAATTTCTGATCGAACTCGACTTCTCGCGCTATTTAGTAATTGCTTTAAAAACGAAGCTGTAAAAGGGCAGATCTTTTGATTGAACCAAATTTGAATTCAAATCTATGCACCCATCATTGTCAATCGACCTACGTTTGAAGTTTTGGGTGTTGTTGCTAAACAAACATAAGACTTGTTGGATCAAACAAACACACCTGAGTTTTTTCACTTGCGCGCTGTGCATCGTTACGATCATACGGAACTAACTAGTGCCTGAGCTTGGTCGTTCCGTGAGCACACATGAATTGGGGTAAACATTGGGATTGACATTGGGGTAAAAAAATCAATGGGAATTATAACTTTTGTAAAAGTTTTAATGAGGATAAAAATGATATCAAATGATGGAAAAGTTTAACGGACTGTGGGGTCAGAATGATTTTATTTTATTTAATGGCATTTTAAATAAAACTATACGAAGACAAGATTTGAATAGCCACTAATAGATCATGGAGAGCGTTTGAATACCAAATATATGGAGAAGTTCTTTTATAGCATAATTATTGGGACCACGGAGCAGTTAGCTGGCCATGTGCATTCATTTGTCCCCGCTGGGCTTCTTTATTCCTCACATCCCCCCGTTTCTGCCTATAGAAAGCGCCGGAGGGCTTCTGACCCTGGGGCAAGGCACCAGGTGCCATCACTCTATCACCAAAGATCATGATGGCATAGATTTCTCTGACCACTCTAACAGCACTAAAATATTGCTTTCGCTACAAAAAAAACCTTGAACCAAACCTAAGGTCAAGTCGCCATACTGCCATACAGTCAACGCCATAACGTTCAAATTTTGATAACTTGTCAACAGCCTGCCCATAAAAATCTCTCCTACTTTTTCTCCTCCAACCCCCATAACTTTCTCCCCGCGCCTTCTCCCCATCAAGTTATCTGGGATCCTCAATGACCCTGTATTAATGGAAATGTTTGAAAATTTTCCTAAATGTTCTCTTCAGAACAAATTGTTTCCACTCCTGTTCCTTTAGCGTATATGTCAGGACACTACCGTGGGAAGGGTTATTGGATAAAGAAGTTACGAAGAGGGTTGGTGGAAGGATGGTCTAAACCGTTGGTTTTCGACCGCTACGACCCGGGTTCGATTCCCGCATTGGACACTTTTTTATGATTTAAAATTTTAAAAATGCTTCAATGACCCCCGATTCTTGCAAAAGTCCAACCCTACCAGCGAGTGCAAGTAACCAAACGGGGCTCTGACAAATTTGTAAGTGCAAAAGTCTAACTGCTTTTCACATGTGTAGACATGTGGTGCACTTACAGTAAAAGCAGTCGCCTACTTCTATCCAACATGATTATCATGGCCTGTACAACGTGTACTAGGGATAAGCAAAAAATAATAATAATAAATAAGTTACGAATAAGAGCTTAAACTTTGATATTTGTTTATTTTATAATAAACTCACACTGGAAAAAAGGAACAATTCCTACTACGATTATATTCCTCTTATTTAAGATAACCAACGCCATACTCCGGTTTTCCGCATTACTCTCAGGTTAGATGGTCAAATCTTTGCAATACCTTTAAGCTTTCTATCAGATTCTGCAGGAACACAATTGATTTATTTCACAAGAGAACACTGTGGTTAGAAAGGTTATTTTATTTATTCGTAGTTTTAATAAAAATATTTGTCCACGTCAGTATCAAGTATCATTTAGCAAGGCTTGAGAAATGTATTTGAGGTTCATTAACGCGCTCTGGCGTGATGTTTCAAATTCACATCATCGAAATGATAAGTCAAATAACAAATATTAAACAAAATATTCAGCTAACTAGAGACTATGATCTTAGAATTATAATTAAAATAAAAAAGGAATAATTATTTTTATAGATTTTTGACAAATTTCTACGCGATGGAATATAATGAAATACATATACAAGTATATATTTTTTTCGCAAACGTTTCTATATATAATAACCATAGAACACACTGTGAATTTATTCTGTTTAATTTTTAACCCTTACTTTCAAATATTATTTGAAAATTTTAAATTATACGTATTGTTGTGGAATAATTTCAAATAATTTATACATCTGCTTCCCATTTCTAGTGATATTCATCCATCTAAAAATGTAATATTTGTTGTTTTTTTTTAAATATTTTCCTGTGAAAATATCTCAATATCATTTCCTTCCGTCCCGTATATAGAGCATGTTCCTCAATTATATATTTACTCTCGATTAAACCCTAACGGTATTACTTCAAAATTACAGCTACTCTTTTCTATATGGTGTCGCTGGACACCCGCTGGCGATTCTCCACCAAACTCTGCAGCGGTGGCAGAGGCGTCATATTCATTGTACATAGTAATTATCTTTTTTAAATAGTGCAGACTGTGTACTTTTGCATGTATTGACAAGATGTCAATAAAATTATTTTAATTGTCAAATTGCTATATAAATAAATTTTATAGAATTCCTTATGGAATTTAATCCTAAAAATTAAATTTTAAAATCTTGGTTTTGATATGTGCTTATCTTTCATTATATTATTTATAGTTAAAAAGTCCCTTTTCAATACTCTAGATATTTCATTCAACTTCTAAAACGTTGTCATCCACATTTCCTTTAGAAAGACTCACAGTAAGCTTCTTTATCGGCCCCTGCACTTCAAATTCGCTTAGAGAATTGGCCAGGGTGTCTATGTTCCATACCATGCCCAATCCGTTCACATTGTCTTTCACATGTCATATAGTAATTGGGACATTGATTGTCAAATTACGCAACTCCAATCACGCCGAAGATGTCAACTCTTGGGACTCGACCACCAGTTTCTTTGTGCGTAAAGATTTCTTCAATACTCTAGATATTTCATTCAACTTCTATAACGTTGTCATCCACATTTCCTCTAGAATATAAGTTTCAGTACAATACTCACAAGTAAGTTTCGTTATCGGTCCCTGCACTTCAAATTCGCTTAGAGAATTGGCCAGGGTATCTCTGTTCCGTACCATGCCCAATACGTTCACATTGTCTTCCACATGTCTATCAAATATAGTAATTGGGACATTGATTGTACAATTACGCAACTGGCCGAAGATGTCAACTCTTGGGACTCGCTCGACCACCAGTTTCTTTATGTCGAAAGATTTCTGATAATTAGCCTCCCATTTATTGATACAAAGAACTTTTACAGCAATCAATTTATATATTTTTATATGTCAATACCAATTATGCCAATTAAGATACCAATCGTGTCCAATTCCCTAAGGTTTTCGGAATCAATTGTCCTAATTAAAACCTTAGAGAGCGTACCGGAGTCGCAATCTTCCATTAATGGACGGACCCTTCCCAATAAGGTTCATCACAACCACTACGAATCCGAAAAACTATTTTTTATCGTCTCCATCTATTAATATTCCAGCAATGTCTGCTCCAGTAAAAAAAATCAAAATACGTTCCTTTTTAAGGCTTATTAATTCAATATTGTTTTCACCTTTTTTAATGATGAATATTAGGTATAATACAATACCTTCCCTGGATACTTTATTTTTCCGTTTATCATTACTCTTCACAATTCATCCTATCATACTTCATCCCTAAGGTTATTTCTCCTTAAAATAAATTTCGATTTTTCGTTCAAAAGAAACATTTGCGGTATAATTGTTAATATTAGGTATGCTTTCGCGCAAATAACAGCGTGACTCAGTACTTCGATGTTAAGATCTATCCAAATTGTATAATCGGATGTTATACCCTCTGTAGTTCTTGTTTTCGAAGCACACACACATACACAATCATAAAAGTTGTCATTCATTTGACTTCTTGTTCTCTTTATTAATTCGCATTATGGGTAGCAACTCCTTAGATGATATTTTGAGAGGTTAATGAAGTGTTTCATCCTGTGCTGCTCAGCTGAAATAACCGAAATACTTGAACTTCTATTAGAACACATTCTCAAATTGTGTGATTTCTTGCAATATTCTTGTAAAAGCTTCCATTTATGATATTAATCAAAAACCAGCCTCGCCGTCACCTTAGTTGATCCATAAGATAATACAGTTTTATTCTTACTATATATTCTTTTTCAAAAAGGTAAACACGAAAAATGTGTTAGCTTGAAAACTTTAAAATATATATAAATTAATTACACTCATGGACAAAATTTAAGGAAGTTGTACTTTGTAGCATGCATATCGGGATTCAGACAATAACTCTGAAAGATTTTGATACACAGTAACCTTTATTGAAGACACCCGAGATAACCAAGTGTGAAAAAAAAGCCTCCGTCTCCTTAAAAAAAAAACAACAACGGACGACTAGAGACATCAAAGATTTTCTTTGAGTTTTGTTTATGAGGGTATGATTTATGTGACTGTATTATTCAATTATGAAAAAGGCATCTCCTTATCGTGCAACTGAAAGTTACTGGTGGCTTGCGCCATCTATCGGAATAAATATCAACTATTCTCGTTGATTTTCAATTATTCCAGAATTGGCTAAAATTACCATTCTTGATTAATCAAGAAAAGCTAACCACGTATTCGTTTCGGGCTGTTGGCCCTCATCAGCGTGTGGCAAGCTGTACCTCAACGACCAAAAATATATTATTCAGGTTAATAGTTGATCTGGGATAAAACACAATAACCTATATATATATTTGAAAATTCTCTATGTGGATTTCCGGCATAAAAACCATACACTTTGGTTAGTGGCCCGTAAAACCATATTCTCTCTATGTGGATCCCTCGATAGCTCAGTTGGCAGAGCGGAGGACTTTAGATAAATCACCGGTGATCCTTAGGCCACTGGTTCAAATCCGCGCCGGACCTGCAGTCCTGGATCTTTCCAGTTGGTCTCGAGGACCACGCCATCACCATCTCCTCAGCGGCAAAGTACGCGATCTACGTTTTCTTTGTAGATCGTGAAATACGTGGTGTCGCTGGAGACCCACTGTTGATTCTCCACCAAACTCTGCAGCGTTGGCAGAGGCGCCATATTCATTATACATAGTGTATATAATGCATATTATCTATTTTAAATAGTGCAGACTGTGCACTTTGAATGTATTGACAAGATGTCAATAAAATTATTTTAATTGTCAAATTGTCTATGTGGATGATTGGATCCCAGTTGTCAACTCTAGTGCCAAAATATTTTAGCTCAAATCATTCCGAAACTAAGGGGAGGGGCAGGATGACATGCGGACAATGGAACATTCCAGGGGAGGATTCTGCGTACCTTTTAACTCTGACCTTAAAAACACTGACGCGTTTAAGTTTGTAAAATTTATTTAGACACGGCACTCATGTGGACAATGCTTGTCCATTTGTTAGGTTTTACACTTTCTTTGATTTATCTCTTAGACTTAGCTGGATAAAGATGAAAGTTTTCGGATTTTTTTAATCCAAGTAGTGTGTCAAATCAGGATGTGTCAATTCAAGAAAATGGGTTGGCCAAATATCAGGGAACAGGCTAAATCAACGTTTAGTTGATTTCTGTTCCAATAGATGGCGCTCTGCCATCTAAAAAGCTCGTGTGCTAGTGGTCAGAATGTGCATTATTTATTTTTAATATCAACACCTGAACTTTTTATTTATTTATTTATTTAATTTATATTTTATATTTGTTAGCACTAACTGGCTGGTACACAAAATCTCTTAGAATACTTTTAAATGGACAAAGAATTTGGGTTCTTTAGCTGTGTGCGCGCATCAATACTGTGAGGAGTAAAAATTATATATATATTTATTTAAAGATACGAATCCTCAGTTAAATGACATCTAACTTTGTTGAAAAATGCAAACATCTCTCTCAGATATAGAACTACCAAAGCTGTGAGTGAGATGTAGTCGGAGATAAGTGGTGTATAAGTAGACGGTCGGAGGTGCTGTGAAGGCGACGAGAGAGACAAAGGGGCCGTGAAGGTCGAACGTGGGAGACAGGAGGAGGACGGGAAGAATGCAAATTCCTTCCCACCAGCAGGAAGACAATAGTTACCATGGTCGAGGCGGTGTCTTCGCAGAACCCCGTGGACCGTGGGCGGCCAGACTTCAGCAGTAGGGAGGACATGTCCTGCACAGACCGCAGTTAGCATTGTAACTTCAGATGGAAAGGCATCAAATAAGAGAAGCATTCGCATCAATCCAGGAAGTAAAGAGAACTTAAATCATGACCACAAGCAACCCATTAAATCTTTACATGATAAATATTACTCCATACCTGAGTTGTTAAGATTGTCGGTTATACATATAGAGATTTCTAGATCTAAGGCTGGGTATTTCAAGGATTTTGATAGAAGTGTATCCAAAGAGAAAATCGAAAAAAATAGTCTTTAAGAAAAATTATATTAGACCTCCGCAGAAATTTCTATATATTCTACAAAAATATAAAATATCGCCATGTACGAACACATTTTGCCATATTATTCCCTCTGAGATAAAGAACACACTCTCTAGAAAAGAATAATTCGAACCGTAGCCTCTGTGGCATGAGAACCGCGCACATAATGATATTCACACCTCAGCGTCTTTCGCTCTGCCCCAGTAATGATCAAGGATTTGTGTCCGTAGCGAGTACCCAGGCTTCCGGCTGACACCTATCGAGGTAACAATGAAAAATTAATTGGAGAATTATTGTTGTGTCTCCATTGTTGCGGGTAAATAGGGGCCAAGTAGGGCACCCGCCTCGCTCCTATGGCGTATTTACCCAGCCACTCTTCACAACGTCTCAATTAAACATCCATACAGACCAATTTCGATACTTTACAAAGGTCATTCATTCTTCAGATGAAACGATATTATTGTTTTATTTGTTGTTCTTTTTTTATACTTTTATATATATTTTGTTACTATATAAAAGTTTACCCCACATAATTATACAGAAAAATTAAGCACTTCAATTTGAATTCGGCAATATTATTTGTTTACAAAATTGACCAGCCTCAAGCATAATGTTCTAAGTACGAGATAAGATCTGTCATCTGATTTACTCAGGTTGAGAGAGTAGAACCTGCTCGAATATATAGTAGATTGAAGCAGGTTGATGAAGTTAAATGTTTATTCAGATATTTAAAGAGTTTAAAATTGTATCGTTCGAATTAATTATTCTCATCTCCCAGGTTAGGATCATAAAAAAATTACGTCAGCCAAGGCCAGACCTGTTCAGAAGTTCTTGGAAGAAAATCAGAACACATCACTATAACCTATTATTGATTTCAAAGTCTAATAATATACGATCTCATGTTAGAGATTGTTAATAACGCGTTAGGATTTAATAAAATTTGCTCAAATTGGATCCAACGCTATATCTGACTAAGAATCAACAAATTATTCGCAAAATAAGACGCGTAAATCATTAATAGAGTCACATAAAAGGTAAGAAGTATTTTTAGAGAAAATAGTAACAGACGATGAACCCTGGGTTTTAGCATTTTCAACCTGAAAGTCAACAAGCATCGATAGAATGGTTTCATCATAATTCAGGGAGACAGAAGGACATCTGTTTTTAGCAGGCAAGGTCACGTTGACTCATTTTGGGGGGAAAAAATGAAACAATTCATGATGATTATTTTGAATGTAGGACTGCAATACCGCAGAATAATTTGCAGGTTTTTTGAAAAATGATTTTATTTACCGAAAATAAGGTATAAAAGAAGCGGATACTGTGCCAAAGAGTAATTCTGCTTCCGTGACAACCTTCGCCTTCATACGGCTCAAAAGACGGTTCAAACTGTACAGAACATTTGCTTTAGGGTTTTATCACAGCCTCCTTACTCTCCTGACTTTGAACTAAGTGATTGTTATATTAGTGATTGGATTTATCAAAATTGGATTTATCATTACTCTTCACAATTCATCCTTTCATACCTCATCCCTAAGGTTAGAAATAATCGTTATTTCTCCCTAAAATAAATTTTGATTTTTCGTTCAAAAGAAACACATGCGGGATAATTTTCAAATGTCGTTTTCCCTAATATAATGTAAAATCGAATTTTGGGGCAATATTAAATTTATACGATTTTGTTGGGTCATAGCGAGTGTCTCTGGTATAATTAATAGTTATCATTATTTTAATGATGAAATATATATATTTGCGCAATAAAACCATTTAATAGTTTCTCAAACACTTAAAGAAGAATCATCTTAACTTAGAGATGAAATAGGAAAACAAATTTTATAGCAATTGACGTTTATAACAAAAATAAGAAACAAAATATGGAGAAGGAATTGTCATTTGCCAATGTCATCTAATTTCTTTCAGACAAAAATCTTTCAAGAGAATTTTTCACGGCAAAATAAATAAACCATTTGCCGGCCTACGTAAAATGTCATAAAAATGATATATTTGGGCAGTCACCATAAAAAATGTTATGGGCTTTAAAAATATTATACACTCATGGACAGAACTTTAGGATGCGCGCACGTGCGTTACACTTTCTAGCATATATACATATTTATTAATATATTTTTATTTTTTTTTTCATTTATATATATATATATATATATAGATGGAAAATTTGCCGGGAGGAAATTGATCCATGGAAGCAATAGTCGCCTCTCCCGTCAAAATAAACGTCAGAATCTGACGCCATCTATTGACCGTCGCCGCAACTAGCGGCATCGGGTCGGTGGACGGTGGTCTCTAGGTGGACGCTTATCAGTTTGCCAAAGTTGGTGTTGTGGCTTTGTCACCGACCCGATGCGCTAGTTGCGGCGACGGTCAATAGATGGCGTCAGATTCTGACGTTTATTTTGACGGGAGAGGCGACCATTGCTTCCATATATACAGGGTGTACCAGGTAAATTGGGACTAACTTTGACAGTCCATAAAACAAAAACTACTTGAGATTAAAAACTTGTTTTTTTTTTCATTACGTAGCCATATTCATGTAAAATGCAACAGTACATGTGTGCGCATATGTATACATATAAGCGAAAAAGGAGTGGTTTATGCTTAAAAAATAAAACTTCCTAAAGTTTTGTCCATGAGTGCCTACATAGATGTATGAGTGGGTGGAGTATTTAGATGCGTTTCCAGTTGATGGAACATCTGATGTAGGTAAGAATACGACTGTTAACATTTAGCTGGACATAGTGGGACAGCCTTCATGCCTTGGGTACCAGGAGTTCAGAACTCCAGACATAGACAGGGTCACCCCCCGCCACTTTGAGGCAGTTAACAGGTCTTGGGGGTACATAGATGTATAGATTGAATTTATATAACCTTTATAACTGTCACTTCTATTTGAAAGAGGAAAAATAAAAATCAGGTAAAAAGTTTCTTTTAATTTTGAATTTGCAAGCTTTCGAGCAAAATATACTGCTATTCAACAGGCTGATACTCTATGTACAATATTAGCCCGTTGAAGAGCAGTATATTTTGTTCGAAAGCTTGCAAATTCTAAATTAAAAGAAATTTTTACCTGATTTTTATTTTTCCCTTTTCAAATAATTTCTGGGTATCTATTGCTCACATATCACTTCTATATCTAGAATTTTAGTAAATATATTATTTGGGATTTACAACGAAGAGAATTTGCGCCAAGTGCGAGCAGTAGGGAGGGCTGGACAAGGCTAGGAGTGGGCCGGGAGGTTGAGTCAGGGAGGTCGGCCATACATGGAGCCCAGATCCCCTCCCGAGCTAACACCCCGAAGGTGGCTCTAGCAACTACTGATCTCTAGATAACGTCGTCCATATATAGCTATCCTCTAAACACCATTTTTGTATATGTGTATTACTCAATATGATTGGCATTAAGTCCTCAAACTCTTCCTCCCATTATCTGGGTTTATATCGCTAATATAACGTATGCACTCGCCACAAATTTTTA